AAAAAGTTCTTTGTGTAACTTAATCGCTTGCGTTTTGTATTTACATATTCTAATAGACAACAATCAGGAAAATGATAACAGCTGCGATTTTTATTTAAAGAAAAAATCCTTTACAAGACATATTGATAGCTTAACCAACGCAAATGAGTTTTCTTGTGTGTAAAGGAAGCTTTGGTCGATGTCAATTTCGTTTTTGATGAGCTAGGATAAACTGTTTGCTTTCTTCACGTGGTGAAGTTTCCGTTTGAGCCTCCCTCCATCTCATATCATTTCTAACCAAATCTCGACGAATGTTTGTTTTTGATAAAATCCGAAACAACTCTTTAGACCCTTGAGGATCTAAATTTTTTCTTTCCTCTCACAGCATCGCTAATTAGATGTGTTATGCTTGATTGCGGAATGGTGACTCCCTCAAGTTTGACTTGTCCAAAACCGTCCCAAGATATTATACTCGATGCATTCTAAGACGCTGCACTATTGCTTTCACCCGCTCACGCATAGTTTTTGGCACACTTTGTACAATGATAGAGTCAGCTAATGTCTGATTGAGTTTTTTTTATTCCCATCAACAGTGTCTTCCACGCGTACCATGGGTATCTGATTATCTTTCTGTTGCTTAAATTTAAGGAATTGTTCAAAGTTTGCGTCAAAAAATTTTTGTCTTTGATCGTCACTCTTGTCTTGTTGAATAATATGTGAGAGTTGCAAATCTTTATTCATCATATTCATCATAATCGGACTAGTTTCAAGTTTTTTCTGTTTTTCGTATCGGTTAAATACATCCTCAGGAACAAGAATGGTACGTTTAACATGCTTCATTTTGTGAACAAACTTCCCAATATACTTATAACAGGCGGCAGTAAAGCAGTCAGTGAATTTCCTCCCTTCTCATTCAAAAGTTTTTTCTTCTTTGCCCGTCAGATTTTTTTGTTAGTTAGCGCTCTCTGGTGTTTCTTGTACCTTGACAACAGTCGCTTTTGACCGACAGAAACTGCGACAGTTCCTTTTAAAACATTGATAGCGTGTTCACATATTCACACAATAACGTTGAAGGGTCCATCCACAATTATCACTTTTCGAACTTTTGGTTTTGATTAAACTCCAAATTTAAATGATCGACTACAGCAATCGTGATAGACCTCTTACAGTTATCTAAAGTGCAGTCAGCAGGGATGTTATTGCGAGTTATCTGATGATGACAAGTACGAGGTTTACCTTCTTCAACATTGACCTTCGCTGCTTAGTCTAAATCAGTTTTATACCATCTAGTATGATAGTTATCGATATCATTACGTATTGTACGACCAAAGTTTTTTAAAGAAGTAATCAAACACAAACCATCTGCATTATCGTTACTAGAATATTGGAGTAGTTGGGTAACAGGAAAAGTAAGGTCGAAAAAGCATCTTGTTATCACGAGGCAAAAAAATGAACTCAAATATAGCTAGAAAGTGAAAGAGAGGGCCTTCTTTGCTGGATGTCTCCACATTGCTGTTGCGTTCATGATTGTAGTATATCTCCTCAAGTGTGAAAACGATTAGCAAAAATAGCTCCTCAAACGTGTCAAGACTTTGAATGAGCTCCACCCTCCTAGTTTTGAAAGCCCTTTTCAACCTTTTTTTTAAGAGTGTGAGCAATATTTGGTGAGATTGGTTTCTAGCAGAAGCAGCCTTGTATCAGAAAAAATGAAAAAATTTGCGACCTCCTTTACTCTTTCCAATAGATTTCTAACAGACTTAACAGAGCAAGATTAAGAAATACTTAAATTAAGTCTATGGCTATAGCAATGAGTGTAGCTTTTTTGTTTAAGCGTTTGATATGTGCAACAAGACCGTTTATGTAGCCAGAAACAGTGCCAGCACCATCGTAACCTTGTCCACGACAATCATTTATGTCCAAGAAAAGATCCTCGTTTATGCATTTTAAAATGACAGAGGCAAGATTCTTCCCAGCTAAGCCTTCCCTTCAATGAACGAAACGAAAGAAATCTTCTCTGATATTGATCTCAGAATCAATAAAACAAAGCACAAGTGACATTTGTTCTTTATGAGAAATGTCGCAGGTCTCATCAGTAATGATCGCATAATACTTACTTTTCTTTACCTCAGAGACAAGTTGTTCAGTTATGTATTGTCCACAGCATCTGATTAACTCATTTTGAGTGGTTTTGGAAACATAAGAAGCATTCTTAGGATGTTTTTTTTAAGTGACCATCTAGAGTAACATCGCCACCTCGAACACGGAAGTTAAGCAACCTCAGAAAATTTCCTACGCCTGGACACGAGTAATTGCCTATTTCAGAGTAATATTTGGAATCAACTCGTTTTCTAGTTTCCTAAAAGAAAAGTTGTAATTGCACAACCTCACCATCAGTAAGACTACAAAAGTAAAATCATATTGTAGGTAGATTAAGTACAGAACATTACGCTGTTACTAAACAGATATTGGAATACCTGTAAAATATTGGTTTATTTGTTACATTATTTACCGATTGAGTGACGAAGGACTTTTCTTGCTTGCATATTATGCATATTGATGGAAAAACTGCTTTAGTTCTGATCGGAGCTTTAGAACTGTCATGCAAAACGAGGATGATCGTAACAGTTTCCTGTGAGGCTCATTTACATCTTTCGACTTATTTTCTTGTATATAGTTTTCATTGGCAGTGGCTGCTGAAGCTTCAAACTTTTTGCTCATTCTTTTTTCAGCCCGTCTAATGAGGCCGACATTGGTGAACTTTGCATAGCATTTTCTATGGTACTTTAACTCTCCACGGTACTCAGCCAAAGGACTTTTCATGGACTGAATTGTTTTCATGAAATTTTTTGCTCTTTTCAGCGATGTCTCTATGCTCACCATTGTATAGTAACCAAAGCTCGTGACAATGTAAAGCTTTTTTCAAAGATATCTCTGTAAAATCAGTCAATGGCCCATTTTCACCATTAAAATGGATTACACATCCCCGCAAGCTCGCCTTTTTGTTGTTTTGATCATTGTGCAAGTTTCGTGCGTGGTCACGAGAGAACAACTCTTAATAACTTTGTTGCGTGTGGTTCTATTTCCACACGCAACAAAGATAGTGTTAACCACATATATTTATCAAACAATTTATTAATCAACGCGTAAATATCAAAGTAGATAAGTGTCTTAATAATAATATCAATAACAGTAAAACTTATCTCCTCTGTCTGAGTACAACCTTGAGTGTTTCTCCTTGAGCGTTCGTGAATCCAACAATAACTCACAATAGATTTCCAAATAGATTAAAGGCACAAAAGCCAAAAGATAGTTATGGCACAAAAGCCAAGATAGTTGTCTGGTAGATTGTAGCTTGTCAACCTACTTCGGTAGGCTATGCCTCCTAAATTTATCTCCTCGTAGCTTGTGCTCATAGGTTGTTCTCGTAGGTTGTACTCAGTGGTGTAAACTACTTATATATATATAATATCTAATGGGAAGTATTGTGGTTTTGTGACCTACATCCCATACGCAATACAGTATGTTACAGCACTAAATAGTTAACCACAATAACAATAAATGGGTTTGCGGTTTCAAAATATGTTTACGCATGTAAGCAAGCTTCTAGTGCATGCAAGCAAGCTTTTAGATTATGTCCTAATTGGTAATGACATTGCAAAATGGATTTTAAAGTTAAAATATAAAAGTATGGAATGCTTAGTAATATAATATAATATAATAATACTTTATAAATGATATTACATGATAGTAGTTGCTATCATGTAACAGTGTACCCGCAATTTTTGGTATATTGTCAGCAGTTTCACAAATAAAACAAGATGGCGACAGGTAAAACTTTAAACGAATATAATGAAACTTTGGAGTATTGAAACACCAAAGAGTGCAATTTTAAGAGATGCAAACAACTTAAATCATATTCAGTCAGTAAAAATAAGTAGTTTTATGTGACATTTATGTAGTCATGAATTTCGGCATTTAGAAATCATTTTTTAGCACACTCTTTTGATACAGAATACGGCCTACTACTTCGCCTTTAGAGATTCTCTTGTTATTAATTATTAATGTTGACACATACATAAAAGGTAAAAGTATTTCCGGATTTTAAATGACTTTTTATTGAGCTTTCGACTTTTGCTTCGAGCTTTCATTAGAATGAGTATATTATACATTTACACGTGCTTTTTGCTTGTAGGTGCTTAGAGCGTCTAATTGGATTAGCAAGTGGATTAATGTCATTGGATGGGGTGAAATGCGTTGCCATGGGTTTCAGTGTATTGTGAATATGATCGGTGTTAATATTATTAGAGTGTAGTGTGGTAGTTTTGGTGTTGTTTGTAGTTTTTTTGTCCTTTCTCTTTACATGTGTGTATATGATGGGTATGTCGATATGTGTGCTTACTGTGTCATTGTTTTCACTAAACCAAGCTTCTTTAAATTCACGTGCGTGTTTAGTCGGTGCGCGTCCGAGTACTTTAGTTTCTGTCCAATCGAATGTGTGGTTGTTTCCGTGGGTATGTCTCGCCGGTAGTGAGTTCGGATCTCGTCGTTTTATGGCGTTTTTGTGTTTTGTGAGTCTTGTTTCGAATTTCTTTGATGTTTGTCCTATGAAATGCTTTGAACAGTCTATACATTGTATCATATAGATCGCGTCAGTTGTATCATGAATTGTTGTTTTGTCTTTATATTTGGTGAAACATGATTCGAGTTTTTGTGTAGGTTTGTGGTCGACGTTAATATCAAATGGTCGAAAAAGTCTGGCAATCATTTCTGATGTTCCGTATATGTATGGTAATGTGTGATGGTTTTTACTGTTTCTTCGGTTTGTGTTTTGTTTTGTATTTTGTAGATAGTTTTGTTTATGAAGTTTCCAGGGTAATTGTTTTTAATAAACGTGGAGTATAAGCAGTTGCATTCTGTTTTTTTGGCTTCTTTGGCGTTACAATGAGTGTTTATCCGGTTAAAAAGTGTTCAAATGCAGCTTATTTTGTGTTGTGTTGGATGATTGCTGTTGAAATCGAGTATTTGGTCTGTGTGGGTGGTTTTGCGGTATACTTGTGTGTTTAGTGTACCATCATCTGTTCTGATTAGTATGATGTCAAAGAAGGTAAGTTGTTTGTCGTGCTCTTCATCTTTAGCAAAGGTGATGTTCTTTGTGGTATTGTTAAAGATGTGTAGGATTTGTTCTGTTTTCTCTTTCTTGACTATGGCAAAGACGTCGTCGACATATCTTTTCCATAGTCTGATTTTTGTGTTGTTTTTGACTCATTGTGTTTCGACGTGTTGCATGACGGCTTCTGCGAGAAAGGTGGATAGTGGTGATCCCATTAGTGGGCCTGAAATTTGTCTGTAGTAGGTGTAGCGTCTAATTGGATTAGCGGGTTAATTAATGTGATTAGATGGCGTGAAATGCCATGCGTTGCCATGGGTTGCCTTTGTTTGCCACTGAATTCACCTTCCAAGACACATACTACAGACAAATTTCAAGCACACCAATTGGGTCACCACTATCTACCTTCCTCGCAGAATTCGTCTTCTTCATATCTTCTTCATTTTCTATCGCTTTAGCAGTGTTAGACGCTCTATGCTTTTCTTCCAGTTACAGAAAGCAGTGACAGAAACCAGTGACAGATTGAGTAAAATAAATGGTGAATTATTGTGTGGTTGCCTTTATTCTGTACACGTTTCACAGCAGGCTGCTGGCTTCCGCGATGGTTCGAGCCATTCGGATAGGAAAAATCTTCCTCTAATTCTTTTTCTCAAAGCTTTCGCCATCGTTGAAGTCCCTTATAACTTATCCATGTATCAGTATTTGCTGTTGATATTTCACTAACTGGGTAACAATCATTACTGCTGATTTATGGGCTGGCATTTTCTCTTTCTAATGTTTCGTTATCGTTTTTCGATTTTCCACGAATTTTTTTGAGAATGAAAAAGTGATGCTATTTTCGTTTGACCACTCGCATCAGCGATTGTCTGCTTATTTTTATTTGCATCTCTCTTTACTCGTATAGCCCATGCTACTTATTGAACGAACCGATTAATTGTTTTACAGAGCAATATTTATATAGTACTCATTAAAAATAACAAATATTACGTCATTCGTCAAAGTATTTCCTCTATTTAATCTAAATGTTGAAACCTAAAAAAATTTGCTGACGTCATTTAGCTAAGTTTTTCTTTGGTGCTAACCGTGTGGGAACGGACACACTGGTAAACCAAACCAGAGGCGGATTGAAACTACGTCACATTGGTCACGCGACGTAGCTTAATTCTGCGCAGCAGCGGAAAAACATCAATCAAATTTTAAATGCTTTTACTTCAAATGCTCTTACTCTAAAATCAATTTGTGGTTTGATTCGATGTGTGGATAAGGATAATGAATTCTTTATCCTAAAATTAAGTAAAAAGTTTTGTGTCCTCACAACGAAAGCATTAGAAAAATAAACTATTGTATGGGTTAGATAAAGAACTATGAGAAATTTGTGCAACATCGGGCATTCATTGAGCAAAGGTATTGTTTCCAAAACCTGGACTAAGAGCTCGAGTGCCTAAAAATACTTATAATTCAATGGCTGAAGAAATGTTGCTCGTCTATCGCAAGCGATGATGACCTTGACAAGTTAACTTAAGTACTAAAAGGCTATGTACGGTAAGTTCTAAGATGGCTAATGAGCCCAATCTTGGCAGGAAATGTCCTCGAACACGAAGGGCAAACCAGAGATGCATCTGATGTTGAAGCACTGGCTGTTCTTGATTTCCGCAGCTCACGTTTCTGTTTGGCTTCCATAGTCCGCCTTTCTTCTGACGCTTGACAGCCCTTGAAGACGAGATCGCGCCAGGTTGATCGGTTCCATGCAAGTTTGTCCGATGTTGCGGTGTTTATGTTAAAGGTCTTCAGTGAGGTCTTTAATGTGCCCTTGAACCGCTTCTTCTGGCCTCCGACTGATCTATTGCCGTTGGAGTGCTCACCATAAAGCAGTTGCTTAGGTATTCGTTCATCTCTTATTCGAGCAATGTGGCCTACCCATCGGATCTGTGCTCTCATCAGCAAGATGTAGATGGATGTCTGATTGGATCGGGAGAGGACATTTGTGTCTGTAACCTTGTCTTGCCACTTTATTCTCAATATCTGACGGAGGCAGGTTGTGTGGAAAAGATTCAGCTGTCTCGCATGCCTCTGGTAAACAGTCAAGGATTCACACGCAAACAGGAGAGTTGATAATACTATGGCAGAGTAACCCTTCCGTTTCATTGCAGTGGTTATCCCTCTACACTCCCAAACGTTTGTGCGCAACCTGCCAAAAGCGGAGCTGGCTTTGGCGATCCGGTTGTTCACCTCTGCATCAATAGTCACAGCTCTGGAAGAGTGCTCCCTAAGTATATGAATTTGTCAATTGTCTGCAGACGTTGTCCATTTACCAGTATGGTAGGCTCCGTGTAGTGTGTATGAGAAGTAGGCTGATGCATGGCCTATGTCTTCTTGGTGCTGATGGTTTTACCAAAGTTGTCACAGGTTGCGGAAAACTTATTCATTCTGATCTGCAACTCCGATTCTGAAGACGCGTTCAGGGCACAGTCATCAGCAAACAGTAAGTCACGAAGAATGGTCTCCTTAACCTTGGTAATAGCTTGCAGTCTACGTAGGTTGAATACGCTCACATCCATTCCACATTTAATGCTGTTACCATCTACAACATCGTGATAAGCATCAGTTAGCATGGTAGTGAAAACCATGCTGAGCAAAGTTTAGAGCCAGTACGCAGCCCTGTTTGACACCATTTGTTACTGGGAAGGGTTCGGAGTATTCACCATGAACTGTTACTCTGGCCATCATGCCATAGTGGAAATGACGAACTATCAAGACGAATTTCTCTGGACAGCCAAACATGGACAGAATTATCCACAGGCCCTGATGGGAGACTGTGTCAAAAGCTTTTGTCAAATCGACAAAGGTGGTGTACAGGTATTGGTTCTGCTCTTGACACTTTTCCTGGAGCTGTCGTGCTGCGAAAATCATATCAACAGTTCCACTCCCTTTACGAAAACCACAATGTAATTCAGGTAGCAGCCCTTCTTCAAGGTAATCTATTAGCCAGTTTAGTAACACTCGGGCGAAAACTTTCCCAGCTATTGATAATTGTGAGGTGCCACGATGATTATCACAGGACTGATGATTACCCTTCGTCTTGTATAGGTGAATAATCGAGGCATCTTTTAATTCCTGGTTGATGGATCTTTCAACCCAGAGGGATTGGAAGAGGTCAGTGAGCTTCTAGATAAATGTGGGACCACCAACGTTATATATCTCGCATGGAATAGCATCTGCACCAGGGGCTTTGCCACTAGAAAGCTTGCTTGTTGCCTCCCTGACTTCTGATTCAGCAGGTGGAACATCCATGGTCGTGTTGATGTTTACCTGTGGCAACCTGTCTATTGCCTCGTCGTTGATTGAAGAAGGACGGTTGACTACAGCTTCAAAATATTCAGCCCACCTATACAAGATCTTTTTGAAGCTCAAGAGAGTGGAATTTCCTAACGATCGAGGTCCATATATGGTGTTGAGAGCTTCATAGAACCGCTTTGTATCGATTCTGTCGGCATAAGCTTAGATTTCATCAGCCTTAGCACTGAGCCAGAAATCTCTCATCACACTCAACTTACTCTGAACTGTTCTCCGTGCACTAGCAAAGGCATTCTTCTTGTAGATAGAAGTTGGATCATCTTGGTACGTACGATGAAATCTGTTCTTTTCATCAAGTAGGGCCTGAATCTCCTCATTATTCTCATCAAACCAATCTTGTTGATGTTTGGTAGGGTAGCTCAATACTTGCACTGCAGTTGAGTAAACCGTGTCTTTAAAGGACTCCAAGTCATCTTCAACGTTACCTCCAGGATTGAAGTTGGCAATTTGGGATTCTAGGTCTGTGGATAGAGCTTCACGTGTATGATGGTTTTTCAGCTTGGCAACATTTATCCTCTTTTTGGTAATGCAACCTTGTGGACGTCTCTTTGGTTAGATGCGGATGTTCATTTTATAAATGATAAGTCTGTGGTCGGTCCAGCACTCTGCTCCACACATGGTCTTGGTAATTCTGACATCCTGCCTGTCTTTCTTCCTGATAATGATGTAGTCGATGAGATGCCAGTGTTTACACCGGGGGTGTATCCATGATGTTTTGTTCTTGTTGGGCAGCCAGAATATTGTGTTGGTTACAAGGAGACCATACGAGGAACATAACTCCAGAAAGTGCAGGCCATTGCTGTTGCACTTGCCTACCCCACTCATTCCAATGACTTCATCCTAGGCAGCAAAATCACGGCCTACCCTTGCATTTAAATCCCCAAGTAGGATCAACTTATCAATACTGCACACGTATGAAAGCTTAGTATCCAGATGTTCGTAGAATCTGTCTCTCTTATCTTTAGGATTTATCATTGTAGGTGCATAGGCAATGATGAGTGTGGCCCATTTAAAATCATGCAGATGAATCTGCATTGACATGAAACGATCGCTTGTACCTTAAGGGAGATTAGCCAGCTTTTGGACAAGATGGTTCTTGATGGCAAAACCTACCCTAGACTCCCGGCGCTCATCGGCAGAACGGCCACTCCAGAAGAAAGTGTAGCCACCTCCATATCCATGCAGCTGCCCCTTATTAGCGAAACGAGTTTCACTCAGTGCTGCAATGTCAATGTTATATGTTGCAAGTTCTCTGGCAATTAAGGCAGTTCTCCTCTCTGGTCTGTCTGATGAAGGGTCGTCAAGTAGTGTACCATTATTCCATGTGCCTAAGGTGAACAGTGTCAACTTAAATTTTTTCTTTCCTTTGTTTCGACCGCAGGTGTGGAATTGGATGAAGGTTAAAAGGTTAAGGCGTGCTTTTTATAGGACATTTCTTCTTGTCCCTTCCTCATGTGAGGTGAGCAGTGCATTCCTAAAGAAGGCTGCTAAGACACCCAGGTAGACACCGAGCTCACTGCTGCTTTAGTCATCACGAAAGCGACCATTAGACTTGACAGCCTGTGTGCAGGTCTGCAACTACAGCTCCCAGTATTGCCACAGGGCTTAAGGCTCAACTTCTAGGTTAAGTGGAAAGAGAATGTTGTCAAGACGTATGCAAGAATTTATTATTGTGAGGAAAAGCTGGCAGACTTCATGCTCACGCTTTTCTGAAATCACATGGATCAAGTGGAAAGACAGTGTCGAGACGAGTGGTGGTGACCTCAGATGCAAAAGTATTCGGTTACTGCAAGATGTTATGCAGTCCATCAACGAAGCTCCACACGGAACCAGACAAGGATAGTTTAGGACAGCAAATTAACAAAACGGAACAAGATGGATGGAGGATGGCAGAGAAACCCTGGGACCAACTAATCTTCCAGAAAAGACAGCACCTGGTCTAACCGCACTGTTCTCCAGCAGTTTAAGGAACAAGTCCATCCAGCACATAACTCAGAAGATGCTCTTGAGAGATTAGGTATCTAACTTACTACGGCCATTAATCGCCATGTGTTACCTTTAATATTTTGGCAATGCTGTCAACCTCTCAAAGATGGTTGGATGAGATAACTTCTCAGAGATGGAAAGATGAGATCACTTTGTCTGGGCACGTCACTGGCAGTACTGTCTACGGCATTACAGACGGCAAATGTTGATCATTATGATGATGATTACAAATGGCCAGACAAAATGCGGGAGAAATACCTATAGCTAATCCGCACAGAGTCAGCACGCCTAAAATTATGCTGCATTTAGAGACTAAAATCTTTCTCTTGATTGGTTTATTGCCATTGTGTAGACCAACGAGCCGCCGTTTTTTGCTAAAATGTTCATGCGGTGTTGAGTGAAATTAAGCACAGATTGCGATTGTTGATAGCCGAGGTTTAATCTTGAGCTTCAAGACCAACAATATTAATGAAAAGCATGGCATCTTTCACTGATTGAGTCGAAGATGCTTTTACGAGGAAAGATCAGACTTTTATGGCTCAACCCAACGGAGAGATTTTCGATTGCCTGATAGTCAAAGCCTTGTTACCAACAATAGTTTGTTGGATCGTCTCGGTGTTGATATTTTCCGAAATATCAATGCCGAATTTTACATAGTGCAGATTGCCAAGACAAAGAACGCAAATTTGGTTGCTTAAGGTTATGAAACTTATGACATGTTATGCATGCATGCTTACACAAGAATGTATAAGCAAATATAAATTGACTTGATGTGATGCCCGATGGATTTGTCATTTGTGGTTTATATATGTGATTCAAAACAAAAAAAATTTTCAAATTTTGATCATATTTAAAACATTTCTATTGACTTATTTCTTCTAGTGTTCAATAGTATACTTATGATAAGATATACAAAAATGAACTGAAGCATGATACTTGAAATTTACATAGCATTATTTCAGATCTGCTACAAATGGCAACTACCTCCATAGTTCATTGTCAATTCTGCTTGTTAGTTACAACTCGGTGTTGACTATTTTGAGGCTGATGACCTCTAAAGAATTATTTTTATATGCTGATTATTACACAAAACATCCATGTTTTTCAAATATTTTTGCTAGTCAGAATAACAAACACTTTGATTCTATCTCAAGCATGGTGGCCATGTCAGTCTCTTTTAATGCTATTGATAATGCTGGAAGTGGTTGTTCTGTTGCTGAACTTGTCAGGGCAGAAGCTGTGTTAAATGCTTAAGATATGGCATGGACTGGGTTTGTTTGTTTGTTGGCACTCTCTTCAGTTACATCCTGTAACTTTTTTTCCTTATTATCCTGACATATACTCTAGTGCTTACAAGGAGAATTTCTTATTTAACCAAAGAATTGAACCTTAAATTCTATCTAGGGCTTGTGCTTCCACTATTAATTACTTGCGAGTTTTGTTTTGCTTTGAAGGCTTAGCTCCTCAAGCAACTGCATTCAAACACAATCAATATGTGCCTTTGATACTTATTGGAAGGGAACTAAAAGAAAGGGAATTAGTCACTTGTCACAAGCTAAAAGCCCAGTATACAAACAAAGTTATGGTTTACACCTTCTGGTCCTACTGAGACAACCATGACAACTAAGGCTCATCCATATGGTATACCTCACAAGTAAATTTCCTAGGTTTTGAGAACATAAAAGTATTGTTAAAGATCTTAGGTACTATTCCAGTCACCTCTTGAGAGTGTGAGAGGTCTTTCTCTGCTTTGCGAATATTAAAGAACTATACAAGAAGTACTATGACTGCTGACAGGTTAAATAGTTTGCTTTATTGTATATTCATCTGGACATTAATCCAGATATAGAAAAGATTATAGATCTTTTTATAAAAGGCAAAAGAAGAATTTCTTTTGCCTTTTAGAATAGCTTTCTAGTAGGGAGTGAAAGTTTTTGATGCCTTTTTTTAAACTCTTGACTGTAGTCAATATAAACACAAACAATCGTTCTCAGGACTTTACTTACCTGTACGATCGACATCTACAAACCTTTTTTTTGCTTTTGTTTTGTTGACAACTTCATTTGATAAATTAACATAAAATCGTTTGCATATTAATCAGCATAAAGGTATGACTAGACCATTATAAAATGAAATTCATATAAAAGCTGACGAAGCGTAAAGAATTTGTTTAGGCTAAGTTTGTAATGAACCATGCCATTTATGTCAGAAGCCCTCAAAGCATATTTTTCTGCAAATTTCCTAGGCATGCTGATGAGCTCTGATATTGAGCAAAATGGACAAAAATAACGTACAAGTATTGTTAACTAACAATAAAAATAGCAATACATTTATGTATTTAAAGTCAAATAAAAACATTCTTGATTATACCTATCTATAAAAGTTTTATTGTCCATTGTTTATATAATTGTACATTTGCAGACTTGGTTGTATATATACATGACTAATTATTGTTGCTTACCATGTTTTTTTTTAAATTTTTTAGATAAAACTATGCTGGACGAGTCGTTTCTTCTTATGTCTTCCGATATTGTTAAATCGTTTTTAAAACGCAAGAATACTTTAAAATGTCTGTTTTGGGAAAGTCAGTCCATCGGCTATTGGTTAAAAGATATTTCAAACCTGACAACGTTTTCAGATAATAGCAGACTAATTCATCGACGGTCTTCATCTTTAAATTTCAAGTCAGATAAGGACGTAAAAAAGAGGAGCGAAATTTGTCATTCAGTTCTTGGTCTTCATCAGAGTTACCCTGATAAAATGAGGCTGTATTGGAGTATATATGAAAAAGAAGTTAAACTTAAACAATATGCAATTCCCAAGGTTGCATACATTTGTAAATTTAAACCAAACGTAAATTATATGGCATGGAGAAATGAAGAATTGTGGTTTTCTGAACCTAAACCTTGCAAAAACAATCCAACTTGGAGAGTTGCAAATGAATATTTGGGCCGGAGCAACGGTAAAGAAAGCGTAACCAAACAAAAGAAGCAGCCAGACAAAAAACGTGAACAACGAACTGAACAAATTGAAGCAGCCAGACAAGAAACACACGCTTGAGCGACTGTTGCGACTGTAGAATGGCATATGGTGAACATTTTATGTTTGTTATACGGACATAAACATCCATTAAACTTATTTTTTATTCCTTTATGATTGCTTCTAAAACATGAATATATACTCCGTAAAAACTACTTTGTGAACAAAAGAGAACATTGCCAATTAAAATACATCAAAGTTGTCATTGCCTATTACAAGTTTTCGGTTGGCAAATTTACTCCATGCATCTACTTTATGGTTTGTGTTTCCAATTTTTTATATTCGATAAGTCATATAAAGTACAGTAATGCTTCAGTCTGCTAATTTCTTTTACCCTTTGCACGGTAAAATCTGTAAATTCCGATAAGGCTTGCGACATGTAGTATGATACAAGTTTAGGAACTTAAACCGATAAATCAAAAGTTTAACATGTGGAATTTCCAAAGTGACTACCTGGCATAACTACGCAAGTAGCTTAGTAACCACGGAAAGTTGTAGTTTTAGACGTGCTACTAAAGCGGCAGCTTGGTGTGATTCATCCATTAAGTTTTTTATTCTGTTTCGGCAAATGTTTAATGAAATTAAACTTTTAATGATTTCATTGCAGCACAATTGTCATAAGACATTTAAAGTACGCGATAATTTTTTTTAAATGCAAACATGTTTCAGCATATTTTATGCGATTTTCAGAGCAAAGTAAATAGGAATTTTACAAGGGTACAAAACAGTATATATAGTGCTATGCGATAAAATTGAAGTATCTTGACTATGTTTGCATAACACCTTATTATGTTAGAATGACCTAAACTAATTAAAATAATTGCAATAATCATAATAATACATTAATTATAATAATTAAGAATTATTATAATAGCACGTTTGTAGACGTAGATCGTCCAGGTTGGTATAGTCGTGAGAAGGACTGTATTTATTGTTGTTCACTGACGCTTCGACAACCTGAGCGGTAGTCATCTTCATAGTCAAATGAGGAGTAAACTTTAGGTTAGCCGTATTTGTTATCTTGTTCTTACTTCATTGTATTGTGTGTACAGGAAATGCGTGGGTGTCAATTGTGTATTATCATTGTGAATTAGTGTTAAGTCTAATAATTTTATTTGATAGTTTGTTTGTATTGTGAATAAGTCGTTTGTAAGGTGCCGGTAATACACCACTTTGGCGGTTTTATTTGAATAAAAACACGTGCTCTCTAAGTAAAAAACCCGGACAAACATGGCGGAAGTCATAACCATGACTAATTTGCTATATGAAATAGAAATATGTTTCGCTCTCTTGCAAAATAAATTTTAACATTTCTTTATTTCAAAATATAAGCTCTCGAATGGAAGAAAGGTTACGTGAAGAGAAATTCAAAGCTATGAAACTGCCGGAATTAAAAAGTTACCTGCAGAGTAGAGCAGTGGCGTGCGGTCATGCAAGCGTAGGCAAGCGCCGCTTGCCTAAGCATTTTACCGAACAAAAATTTTTTGGATCAATCTCTGAGCAAAATCAGTTTAAATTTTTCTGTTCTAAACAATGTCAATGTAATCTTTTGTCTAAATTGTCTTTACAGTTGAAATGCTTGCTATTTATACGCGATTTACTGTCGTGGTTTTCGGTTTTACTTTGCTACACTTATAAGATGAGTCAAGTGGATTAAATACACCTTAAAAATTTCTTACTTATTAACCAAGGCAAGCACGCTTGCCTTCGGAGCTCAATTTGAGCATTTGCGCATGCGTTAATCTAGATTTGGAGGCTTCTTATTCGAGGAATATTGAGAAAAGGCAAGCGGCGCTTCTAAGGGCGCCGCTTGATAGCGATTTGTCAACAGTCTTGTACGCTCGCAATTTTAAACACATATCAGCGCACGAATAATATTCGTATATTCAACACATTGGACATCCGAATTATTCACGCCGTGAATGTTATCGTATATTAAAAGATGACTGAGAGCGAAAGGTTATGTACTGATTTCTAATTCAAAGTAGTAGTAGATTTCTAATTTATGTATGAAGAAGATATTATCTGTAGCATGTTATACTTTTGCGTTATATAAGTCTTTCGTATGAGCTCTGAACGTGATTTCAATCTACTAGAACGCTATTAAATTTTGTGATTATTTTATTCACTAGCGAAGAAGTTATTTACAACAGTCGTGAGTATTCTATACGTTAGAATTTATTTACAGGCTTTTTATATATTTGGATAAACAAGGTGCAGTTATTACACAGCGGATAATGTACTTGAAATTTGAGTAGTTTTACGTAATTATAAAATTAAGTGCGTAAGTTTAAGTAGCGCGTTTGAGTAAGTGTAGGATTGGCTACTTCCTCTATTGCTAATACATAAATCTAGATGAATAATATACGCACGTTATGTACGTCACTACAATACAAGATTATGATATCGACAAGAGCTTCCTTTTGCGTAGTAGTTTTGATATTTGTATCCGGTAGATATCATGCAACTGATGTAAGGTATAAATAAGATTGATGTTCCTATAAAATATATAGCATAGGAATTCTCATCCTTTTATGATCTACTTCTACATTCGGCATTTTCACGACACCTGTACAACATGACTGAATGCATTGTGGAATCACTGTTATCCCGCTCATTTAGATTGAGACCTTTTTCCGAGAAACGAGAGATCGTCGAAGGTGGCCGTCCCACTCCTGAGTTGCAAGGACTACATACAACATCCAAGCGAAGTGGTAAAGTCTTTATTCGAAGTTTTCAGACGTCAAATTAAGACAAGTACAAATGGCTGGCTGGCTCCTCAAAATTGAATAAGTTATTTTGCTGGCCGTGTCTTTTGTTCAACTCAACAGACAAGACAGTCTGGTGCAAGAAGGGATACGATGATTTGGCCAACCTGTGTAATGCCGTCAACAGACACGAGAAAACGAAGACACACTTGTCCAGTTGCTTAATGAATGCCAGTTTTGGGCGTACACGCATCGACATGCAGCTAGACGAACAGGCCCGTCAACACATCTCAGCTCACAACTTGATGGTGCACAAGAATAGAGAAGTACTTCGCCATTTCATTGATGTTGTTTGCTTTCTTGGCAAACAGGAACTTTCTTTCAGAGGTCGGGTGGAGCTGGAGGAGTCTGCCAACAGGGGCAATTACGTCGAATTGATAAAACTGCTAAATGCATATGACCCACGCTTGAACAGCATCTTCAAACAGCAACCGTGTTTTCTGGACTTTCTAATCGTATCCAGAACGATTTGATTGTTGCTGTCAAGGACGTTATGTTGAAAGCAATAAAAGATGAAGTGATGAGGAGCCCATTTGTCGCTATTTCCCTAGATGAAACCTCCGACGTTAAGACCTTATCGCAGCTAACAACTATAGTTCGCTATGTCCACCCAAATGGTAAAGCTGTGGAGCACTTTCTTGGATTTACCGATGTAAGTAAGGATAGAACTGCGGCTAGACTGAAACAAGAAGTCGGTAAAACCCTGAACGAGTACGGATGCGGCGAAAAACTGATTGCCCAAACGTATGACGGTGCGAGTGTGATGTCAGGAGAACTGTCTGGTTTGCAAACACGAGTAAGAGAAGACTATCCACATGCTCTTTTTATCCACTGTTGCGGACACGCATTAAATTTGGTCATTGTTCAAGCTGTCTCGTCAACTAAAGAGTGTCGTATATTTTTTAAAACCGTCACTGGTCTTTCATCCTTTTTTAACGCCTCGTCCAATAGAACATACCTGTTGGACACAGTTGTCGGCAGACGCATTCCCACTGGAACAGCTGTTCGATGGCACTATCAGAGCAGGTTAATCCATGCTGTACTGGAGACAAGAGCAAAGCTGCTCGAAGTTTTCGAATACATCATCGAAAATGATGACGAGTTTGACGGTACGACGTTTAACGAAGCGAGGGGCTACCGACAAGTTCTTGCAGCTTTCCAGTTTGTGTTCTGCCTTAAAATATTTTCAGAAATATTTGGTCTTACGGATGTTTTGTATAATATCATTCAGAGTAAGCAGTTCGATATTGTCAGGGGCGGATCTAGAGTATGTCAAATCCGTCGCGCGACTGATGTTTGAAACTCAAAAATTACCTATTCATATTAGTTAAAAATTCATTAATTATTCTTACTTTATTACCGCATTTACTTCGTGATAAAAATCCAGCTTTATTTATTATTGAAAACTAATGACTAATCCAATGAATATCGCCTTGGTAACCAGATCAGTTGAATTTTAATTGACCTGGAATAACCGACTGATAAGCGGGGTGGCTTGACTGGTTCGACGGATAAAGGAGTCTTTGAACGCCAAAAACGCTTATTTCATTGGTCAATAGCCAGATCAGTGGACGAACTGGAATAATCTCGACCGATAAGCGGGGTGGCCGGACCTATAAGAGAGTCCACTTGCTATCGTGTAATTGGTTCGTTTAACCTTGCTGTTTTGTCTTGATGAAACGATCAAACATTCAATTCAGACAGTGAGCTTGACTATGTTAGATAGCCAACTGAACTAACATAGTCAAGCTCACTGTCTGAATTGAATGTTTGATCGTTTCATAATAATTTTCTCAAGCATGATAGAAACTAAACTACAATCAGATGGAATTTATGGAAATCTTTTACAAATTCATATATTGACATGAATGCTGCTTTCCAAACTGGGAATTTTTTCAAGAGGGCGAAAAATTTATGGATAAATTGTAAATGCTTGGCAAAGACGATCTCGCGAGCGACATTTCAGTCATTGATGTTCAAAAGCAAGCCAACATTGTTTTGAGTTTTATCAGCAGAAATTTACATCCAAAATCGTAAGTAAAGGACAACTGAAGTGTATGCATGAATGTAACATATCAAAGTCAATTTATGCGAGTGTGTGATGCGATTTCTGTTAATATGGCGTATGGTAAGCAGATTGATGCTTCTAAAATTGTTGTTGCCGAAGAACTTTTAGCTATGATTTCTTTAGTGCTTGGGGAATCGTGACCGTTATATGGCAGCGAAATCCTACATTCCTGCAAATATATTTCAATGGACAAAAAATCTGTAGCCAGAAGGCGCCATACTATTATTTACTTTATCATAAACAAATGTTTGGGGCTTTTCAGTTTATGATCATTGATCATTCAATCATTGAACAGTTATACTACATATTGTTTAAGATTTGAGAAAACTAACATTGATTACATAAGAAGCTGTTTACTATAACCTGTGATTTTGAGTCTTCTGATCCATGAAGCTTTTTATTTTGACAATTTGACTGAAATGGTATTAAACCTTAGTATTTCACATACATGAGATGTTGTCTCATGTCACATATTGTCCCCTTTTCTAACTAAACACCTCATGTAGAGATGTAAAGGTGTGTTAATCTACGGCTCATACCAGATTGTTTGCCATAAATTCCAAAGGACTATTGATGTATGAAAAGCCTTTTCTATGAAGTAAAAATGTCTTCCTATGTATGCAGATAAACCTTGAAATTTGGCCAAACAGCAAAGTATTTTTCATGATCACTAGGTAATTTTTCAGATGATCATTATAATTTCTAAACTAAATTATTTCAGATTTACATTTAAACGAGCTTTGATCATATGAAAAGATATTTATCATAACCAGTAAGCATGACACATAAACCAATTTTAACATTCATGTAATTATATAATTAAAGACATGTTGGTTACATTCTGTTTGTATTTGATAATACAATGCTACTAGTGATTGCTATATAGCACACCTTGAAGAAGATAATAGTCAAGTGAAATGCCTAATAAAAATTTATGGTCCTTAACTGCAAATTTTCACTCTGATAATTTTTGCTTAATCTTTGGAAGAAAAAAATTTTGAGTTTTTTCTCAAAAGGTGAATTTGCTAATACTGATGTGGAGATGGGTAAAGGGTTACAATAAACTTGCATGGTTTGAAGTCTGAGCTTTTCTATATCTATGAACTGTCACTTGTAGTCCCAAATTTCTAACTTAACTCATTACATAGAGGTTTGAATGGGGGTCTCTAGGGGGGTCTATGCCTGAGAACTTGGTAGAAATTTTTAAAGGATATATCTGTTTTTGAATATAGCATTATTGTAAAATAACTTTTACGTTCCTAGACATGCTAATGAGCCATATATTTGGCATAATAATGAGCCTAAATATTTGGCAAAACATTCAAGTATTGTTCACTTCATTATTTTTTTTGAAAAAAAAACGTAACCAAAATGTGTTGTTTTTACGCAAAAACGATGCCCACAAAATACATTTTGTAATGCTCTAAAACGCTGAAAATGGCATTTTTAAGGCTCTGAAATTCAAAATTTCTTTAGTGAGATAGCCTCAGACCCCCCCAGGTGCGGAGCGCCTCCGACGTTTCATGACTGATGTTTGAAAATCCTAGATCCGCCCTTGCATATTGTCTTCTGTGTCACGAAAGTTCGCGAGACGAAAGATAAGATTCAAGAACAACGAACAAAATTCGTAGATTATTGGAATTTTACGTCAAGTATCGTCAAAGTAGCACTGAAACGCGGGCAAAGTGAAGAGGATGTAAAGGCGTCCTTCCGTCAAATGTTTTTCTGTGTAGTCGATACCATTGTCGTGCAGATTGACTCTAGATTCGAAAGTCTTAACAGCAGAGCATTCGTTTCTTTGTTGGATCATTCAAAGCACGAATTGTACAGCCGGAATTTTCCCGAACGAGAGCTGCGATGGTTGCAAGATTCATATGGAACATTCTTTAATCTTCAAGCACTAAAAAGTGAACTAATCGTTGTATATGCATCTGCCTAGCTCAAATCGAAACCTGTTTTTGATATGATATCAAAAATAATCGAACTTGACTTGAAAGCCTATTTTCCAGAGGTGTACCGATTGTGTCAGCTCATTCTTACTATGCCAAGTACGTCCTCCTCTGCAGAAAGATCATTTTCGTCTCTCAAGCGTATCAAAACGTATCTTCGCAGTGCACAAGGGCAAGAGCGACTTTCTGCATTGGCTACAATTTTAATCGAGAAGGAGATGTTTGTATGTTTGCAGGGGAAGCCACAATTCTATGAGGAGGGTTATAAAGGGGTTTTGCGCAAAGGATAGACGGATGGAATTTACATTTAAGTAAATTTGTTGTAGGATTTTGGACTATTTCGTTCTGTTACTTCTTCACTACAATAGAAATGCACGCGTAGCCATTTATTTAAAACGACTTTATATCACAATACCACATGTAATACTTTTAAACCGTAATTGTGATATATACTCCATAAAAGTTTTTGAATTTTTTAGATTTTTTCTATACTGTTTCAGTCATGACAGATACATTTTTTCACAAAGTAGTCCCAGAAATCGCGGAAAATGCCACCAGACCCTCTAGATAGCTTCGCCCAAGCCGCGAACCTCGACCCCAGCGCTTGCCTATTAAATTCGGTAACCGCACGCTACTGGAGTAGAGGCATAACCGTAAGTAGTTATCTGAAGCCGGGACTAGTAGCCATTGCATGTGCAGTGGAAAAAATGAAAATTCCATTGATGCCGAAAGTCAGTAAAGCCGAGCAGCAAGTAAATTTAAGTTGTCGTTTGACCATCCATGACGTTGAGCTGCCGGATCCATTTACGATTAATGTTTCAAATGATTTTAAAAATTCACCCCGTTCGGCTTGTTTGATATATGTAATCATATTATATATCATTCATCGGAATACGACAAGCAGGGTCTTGCAGCCTATAAGTTGTTCGAGAACTATCGTTTGTCTTACGATGGATAGGTTGAGTCTTTGCTAACAGCATACAGGCAAGATTCTGGGGTCCATGTTTATATAGGCAATGCTAAGCTTAAAATGAAAGCAATGACTAAAGATGGTAAAGACGTTTACGATTTATGGTTTATATTGGAAGGATACGAGTCTAATCGTGGCAGTGTGCTTGATGCGTAATGCTGTTGTCTTGGTAATAGAGATGGTGGATGTAGGCATGTATCGTCTGCTTTGTATTCTCTTGATGATCTGCTTAATTCTAGAGGAGAGGATATTGTTACAGGTAAGGAGTGTAAATGGATTCGAAGATCAAGGCCTGATACAGCACCGTGCAAGCTAGAAGATCTTCAAATAAAAAAAGTGGGACTTAAAGATCAAGGAAGGAAAAGAAAAAGAGATTAAGAGTACAACCAATACATTGACTATGACCCACGTCCACTTACAGATAGTGGACCCTGTTCACATGAACAACTTGTTCGTCTAGTAAAATCATTGGATGAAATAAAGAAGAAACCACCTATACTATCCATTTTGAAGAAAGAAATGTATGGCATGGATGAAATTCTGGAAAAGAATAAAGAATCATCCAAGCATGTAATAATGGAAAAAAAGATAATACAACACCTGCACAGCAATCACCAAGCAAATGTAGATGGCTTCTTAGAAAGTCTCCACTTCCCAAAGAAGGAGATTGAGGATATTGCTTCAGTCACTAAAAAGCAATTTCAATGTAGTGAATGGTACACCCATAAAAGACGATTTATAACTGCCTCAAAAGCTAAGAATATTTACACAAGGCAGATTTCCATTGAGAAACATGAGACGAATGTTTCTTCTCTCGTAAAATTGCTAACAGAACAAAAAGATGTCGCAACATTGAGAAAACATTGGGTTGATGATCCTAAAAATCCACTCGATTGGGGACTAAAACATTGACAAAGTCTAGAAAAGCTTACTATAGTGTTCAAGCAAATAAACATGAACAATTTAGTTTAATTTAAAAAGGCTTCGTGATTTCAAAAGATACACCTTTTTTTGTGCTAGTCCTGACAACATTACAAGTTGTAAGTGTATGCCTAAATGCGATAGTATTGTAGTGGAATATAAATGTCCATAGACCCACAAATATTGTGATCCCAAAGAGGCATTCCTGCAGCCTGAGATTGGTGGTAGATGGGAAAATGGAAAATTTTTTCCTCAAGAAAAGTCCAGTTACTTTTACCAAATTCAAGTGTTCGTGCATGTTGCTGGACGGAAAAAGTGTGATTTGGTAGTCTGGACAACGAGAGGAATTTTCTGCCACCAAGTGACATATGCTCCAGTGTTCTTTCAAAAGATTTCTTTGAAGCTTTAACAATTTTGGCTTACCAAGGTTGTGCCACACATGTTCAAAAAATTCTGCATTTTGAACAAGGTATCTTCCAAATGTACACATGGTAAGCATTTAATTTGAGTGTTACCTTAGCAAATTTACTTGAAGCTAGTTTGCAGTAATGTTGCTTATGATAGGCTCCACAAAAATAAAGTATGGTCATAAAAAAAATCCGGTGAACAAAGATGAAAAAGAGGCTGCTTTTTTATGCAAAACAGGTATCACATATCAAGTATCAAGTGGTTTATTAAGAGCCAGGATGTTTTGTTATGCTCCTCAATTTTTTTCTTAATTTGCTTAGATGATACGGTAAGCATCTTAGAGACAGAAAACAGTGATCCGCCGATGAAGTCTGTTGTCTTATTTGGCTTTGATGTGCAACAAGAAGACATAGACAGTCTACAACCAAAGGGACTTATTACAGACAAAATCTTGTCTATATTAATGAGGTATATTCTTTCATTGCAATATTGATTGATTTTAAAATAGCAAATAGGTTAATTACACTACCAAAGTAAATTTACTAATGCTAGTGAGCTGTATAATTTCATTTCTAGTGATCACTGCTGTGAATACCAGGGGCGGATCTAGAGTATGTCAAATCCGTCACGCGACTGATGTTTGAAATTCAAAAATTACCTATTCATATTAATTAAAAATTCATTAATTATTCTTACTTTATTATCGCATTTACTTCGTGATAAAAATCCAGCTTTATTTATTATTGAATACTTTGACTAACCCAATGAATATCTCGTTGGTAACCAGATCAGTTGGTGATCTGGAATAACCAGCTGATAAGCCGGGTGGCTTGACTGGTTCGACGGATAAAGGAGTCTATGAACGCCAAAAACGCTTATTTTATTGGTTAATGGCCAGACCAGTGGACAGTCTGGAATGGTCTCGATTGATAAAAGGGGTGGCTTGACGTATAAGGGAGTCCGATTGCTATCTTACAATTGGCTCATTTAAATTTTGTTTTATTATGATTGGTTTGACGGATGTCGACTGACAGCCAACTGAACTAACATTGTCAAGCTCACTGTCTGAATTGAATGTTTGATCGTTTCATAGAAATTTTTATAAGCGTGATAGAAACTAAACTACAATTAGATGGAATTTATGGAAATCTTTTACAAATTCATACAAATTCATGTATTGACATGAATGCTGCAGTCCAAACAGTGAATTTATTCAAGAAGGTGAAAAATTTATGGATAAATTGTAAATGCTTGGCAAAGACGATCTCGCGAGCGACATTTCAGTCATTGATGTTCAAAAGAAAGCCAACATTGTTTTAAGTTTTATCAGCAGAAATTTACATCCAAAATCGTAAATAAAGGGCAAGTGAAATGCATGAATGTTATATAGATAAGTCAAATTATGGGAGTGTGTGATGCGATTTATGTCAATATGGCGTATGGTAAGCACATTGATGCTTCTAAAATTGTTGTTGCCGAAGGACTTTTAGCTATGATTTCTTTAGTGCTTGGGGAATCGTGGCCGTTATAGGGCAGTGAAATCCTACATTGTTGCAAATATATTTCAATGGACAAAAAATCTGTAGCCATAAGCACCATACTATTATTTACTTTTTCATAAACAAATTTTTGGGGCTTTTCAGTTTATGATCATTGATCATTTAATCATTGGACAGTTATACTACATATTGTTTGAGATTTGAGAAAACTAACATTGATTACATGAGAAGCTGTTTACTATAACCTGTGATTTTGAGTCTTCTGATCCATGAAGCTTTTTATTTTGACAATTTGACTGAAATGGTATTAAACCTTAGTATTTCACATACATGAAATGTTGTCCCATGTCACATATTGTCCCCTTTTCTAACTGAACACCTCATGTAGAGATGTAAAGGTGTGTTAATCTACGCCTCATACCAGATTGTTTGCCATAAATTCCAAAGGGCTATTGATGTATGAAAAGCATTTTCTATAAAGTAAAAATGTCTTTCTATGTATGCAGATAAACCTTGAAGTTTGGCAAAAGTGTAAAGTATTTTTCATGATCACTAGGTCATTTTTCTGATGATCATTATAATTTCTAAACTAAATTATTTCAGATTTATATTTAAACGAGCTTTGATCATATAAAACGATGTTTATCATAACCAGTAAGCATGACACATGAACCAATTTTAACATTCATGTAATTATATAATTAAAGACATGTTGGTTACATTCTGTTTGTATTTGCAAATACAATGCTACTAGTCATTTCTATATAGCACACCTTGCGTATACTTACAGAAGCTAATAGTCTAGTGAAATGCCTAATAAACATTTTTGGCATTAAGCTGTCTTTAACTGCAAATTTTCACTCTGATAATTTTTGCTTAAACTTTGGCAGAAAAAAAATTTTGAGTTTTTTCTGAAAAGGTTAATTTGCTGGCACTGATGTGGAGATGGGTAAAGGGTTACAATAAACTTGCATGGTTTGAAGTCTGAGCTTTTCTATATATATGAACTTGTAGTACCAAATTTCTAACTTAACTCATTACATAGAGGTTTGAATGGGGGTCTCTAGGAGGGTCTATGCCTGACAACTTGGTAGAAATTTTTAAAGACTATATCTATTTTTGAATAGCATAATTGTAAAAGAAATTTTACGTTCCTAGACATGCTAATGAGCCATATGTTTGGCAAAACATTCAAGTATTGTTGACCTCATTTTTATTTGAAAAAAACGTAAGCAAAATGTGTTGTTTTTACGCAACAAAAGATGCCCACAAAATACATTTTGTATTGCTCTAAAAAACGCTGAAAATGGCATTTTCACGGCTCCGAAACACGAAATTTCTGAGGGGAGAATGCCTCAGACCCCTCCAGGTGCGGAGCGCCTCCGACGTTTTATGACTGATGTTTGAAAAATCTCAGATCCGTCCCTGGTGAATACCCCATAGTAGACACTTTATTCTATTCTGTTCTTGTAGGAGATCAAGAACTAAAAGTAAGAATATCAAGCATGTTTCAGTAACTGACAATGATATTGCACTTATCTTTCAAATATTCTACTTTTATACAATGTATTTAATGTTTGTAGACTAGAAAGAATCCAAGCTGCAGAACAATTTTCAGTGCAAAGTTACTTGAAGAAGATTATGTGTTTGTGCCAATCAACAGAAGGTAAAAATGCTTTAGACAACAAATTCCGTATCTTTTACAAAAAATTGTAAAAAGAATTTTATTCCATTATTTTAGCCTACACTGGTTTTTGGCCATCATTTCACCATGGTAGGAAAAGCAACATTTGCTATATTGCATGTGTTCCTTTAAAGAATGTACGGTTACAATATTAACCAATTTCATATTTAGGCATATCCTTGTTCCGGACTCTTTAACTTGGGATAAAAAGACAAGAAATCTACATTTGAATATATTTCACAGTAATTGTTTTTCCATTGCACTATGCCTACTCTCATTGCTATGTTACTGTTGGATTACAATTTTTACTTTTTTATTCTGAAGATATTTGGACTACACCTTTCAAAAGCACAGCATCAAAAGAAAGCATCGTTCAATTCATATGTTTAAAGTGAGATCTTATCATGCCACCAATAAAACATATTGTGCAAATAAATCTTGCTATATGCATTATTTGGTAGGTCCCACAGCAGGAAATTTCTTCAAACCTCTGTGCTGTTTTTGTATCAGTTTTTATTAATTACTTTTTGAAGGTAATTATGGAAACTACATGTTTCTTCAAGTTAGAGCTTAATAATAGGAAAGATGTACTCAATGCAATAACATAGGGAAGAGTGCTTACTTTTTCAATCTCACAACATTTTTTAAGATATTGAAAAAAATGAGAAATGTCCCAATGATTTCATTGTCATTGAACATAAATGGTTCAGTAACAAGAATGCCACAATGGAAAGAAATAAATGGCACAGAACTTTGCACAGATTGTTTACTCTACATTGATCTAAATTTATCTCTTACACAAAGGAATATTTCATTGTATATTTTTTAAAACTTCTACATACAATGTTTTTAAGGTGATGCAATAATCTGTGGTTGCAAATTAACCAATGCTGCACAGATAGACACAACAGAATCAATATATGGTTTCATTGTTATTGGGATTACACCTTGTAATATACTAAATGAGTTCATTCGTTGAATAATTCTTTCAATGTGAATCCTCTTTGTAGCCACTCTCCTTGTCATTATTGTTGCACCAGTGCCAACATTACCTTTATGCATAATTGGAGGTGAAATTAAACGGACATGTTGAAGGGCAAGTAAATCCTGGATATTAAATCCTTTGTCAGCCATGACTTTATCCCCTGCAGCTAACTCTTCCAAACTATTCACATCTCTTGATGATTTCCTTGTCGCTTATGCAACCACTGAACAATGTAGAGATATAGTTGATATATAGAAGCGGTGACATGGAAATAAATAGTTTGAAGGTGTTTCTACCTTTTTAGATACTATGTGTCCGACGTTGACTTGAAGGAAGAGAAGGTTTTTGTATATAGAATTCCGTGCAATCAATTATTGCACGAAGACATGGATTAGATTCGTAAGCTTTAGGCCGGGTTATTCCTTCCATGTCTTTCAAAGTTGTAAATGGAATAAATAACTTTAATGCCTTCTAAAGAAATTTCACCCATGTCAAGAATATGCTGCTACCAACAGTTTCTGACACTCAAAATAAATCACATAACATCTTGAGAGTAGGGAATCTTTTGATCCTGACCAATGTGAATATAAATTGCTCATAAACTGAAAGTTTAGCCCATGTAGAAGTTTTGTGGATCTATAAAAATGATTAAGTGCTTATCATTCATTACACATAGGTAGCTATTGACTGCATTACACAACTAATTACTTGAGTATTTACTTGAGCAATATGTATGATTATGTATTACTGTACCCTAGCACTGCTCTTTTTTTCTTGTTTATATTTTGCTGTTTTCTTCCCTTTCCATTTGATAAGCCTGGAAGCCTTTGCTTTCACAAACTCAAAAAGTATTTTCAACATTTCACCTGATAGGCCTACAGATAAATTAACTCAGAGTAGCTCATAAAGTCCTTTATTATTTCCACTAGCTTCCAACATAAGCAATTATATCCCGTTATAATAATCATAGTAAAAAATGAAATTTTATACCTGTATAATGGGCTGAATCATTAACCACATTTTCTAAAAACATGCATTTCTGTATAATGCTGGTGGTAACCAATGAATCAGTCGCATAAGTTTTAAGATGTTCATTAGTTAGCTTGGTTTGAACAGCAGCATCTTTTTTCTTTAAAACAAGAAGAAGTTCGTCTTCGTCATTTTGGATATCACGGGATGCTGTACTATTTTCACATAAGGATAGGAGGCCATCAGCTGCGTCTCTTTTAGCGTGTTCCCTTTCGCTCAAGCAAAGAAGAGCCTCTGCAGCATCTTTTTTTGGAGATTGACGCTCGTTTTGGTGGCGGATTATATACCCTCGTCATTGGTTTTTTTCGTTTTCCTGTTAGTTTTTTTCTCTATATGAATTTAAAATGAATGTATAAGCTTATAAAATGTTCAGCAAGCTTTCGTAATAGTCACACATTTATGACAAAAAAGCAGTCAACACTTACATTCTCAATACTTTGTATCGCTGAAATAGGGTCTGGGTTATCTACAGTAGGACCATTTTCTCCCACAAAATGAAGACTACAAATATAACTGTCTTTCGTACACACAAATCTGTCACCTCGATGACACGCACGAATCCAGCGCTCTCGTTTGTTGCTATGGTATTTCTCCCCAGGAAAATGTAAAAAAAATACTTTGCTTCTACTTGCGTCTCGTTTTAAACAATCAGGATACCGCGAATCGCTTTTGCAGGTTCCCCAAGGGCACCTCTTCGTCGTGACCATTGTTATAAAATTACTCCGCCATGTTTGTCCGAGTTTTTCTCTTTAGCAAACACGTGTTTCCACATTTTTGAAAACCGCCAAAGTGGTGTATTAAGGATACACAAATATGATAATTAGGGTATTGACATTACATTGTATAAACTTCTCGGTAAGACGGGCATAAAAATGGGAAAGTGCATATCACCCGAATTTTTATTTTTGAACAACAAGAAGTATAGTCCCTGAATAAACATCTTTTCTGTTGGCTCTAGGTAATGTTTACAAGTTTTTTGAGCTGCAATTTCATCAAAACTGGCAATATTTGGGGACATCATTTCTGTCCGAGCTATTAAAGTAAATATATCTAGAACGTTAACTCTTATAGTTTTTTCCCATGATTGGCTGAGGCCAAAATACATTTAAAATTTGTCAAACGCCCTACTGAGATAATGCGCGTTTTTTTCGGAGGACGACGTTTTTTCTTTCTTGGCGATAGAAAAATGAAAAAATTATTTGGTGTTGGTTTTTTCTAATATTTTGTGTTTTAAAATTGCATCGACAGGAATAGTTCATGCTACAGCAAGCTATTATCGGAAGAACATATTCAACAAGAATTGACGACGATCGATCAACAAACTTATACAAGTCTACAAGACGGAACTGAATGTTAAAAAATATGAATGCGATATAAAACATATTGGAATATTCATAGCATTTTTTAAAACTTTTTTGTGTATGATTCACGGCTTTTTACGTTTAAATAATGCTCCAGTGATGTATTTTGTTTGAGGACACACATTTTTTCCTTGTTTTTTTCATTATTGTTTTCGTTTCAACTGCCAAGCCTATCGACCCGCTGTGATGAGTATTGTTTTCATTTTCTTTTTCTCTCATTATTTGCTTTACACAGACAGAATAAGAAAGGGGCGTGGCGTATTTAAAATATGTTCTAGATCTGTATGCATTTATATCAGTAAAAAGCTTTTTAAAAACTCTTTGTGCGAAGATTATTCACTTTCTTTTTGACACTGAGCTGTTTGTTTATTTTCTCTTGGGCAAATTAATCTATTTTGATGAAAACGTCTAGGCTTATAGACTTAACAAAAGTAAGGCACAATCTTCATTTTTCATAACGTAACTGTTTCTATTTGAAAATAATACACTTTTTGAGAAATCCTAAAGAAAACTTCATATTAAGTGTTGTTGACGTCATCTAAGAGAGGATTTTTTTGTTTTTCTTTTAACAATATTTACGTCAATTTTTAAATTCATCTTTCTCGATCCCAGAAAGTTAAATCTTTTCGAAGCTTTCCAAACTGAATTATTTTACATTGTTTTAATTATTTCTTGAGGTTTGAAATTTTGAATTTACCCAGAACTTTCAATAACACAAAAAAAGCATTAGAAAACGCGCGCTTTTTCCGGAAGTCAATGCATGTTGTCATGTCTTTCCACATTTTTTTGAATCTTCTGCCTTGTTAACTATGGTAATATCAAATTTAATTATCATATTTCTGATAGTAATTGCTTTTAGGTGATATAATTGTGGTTTTCGTGCCAAAATTATCTAGTCAAAATAGAAGCAATTTTAGTGAAAAGCTTCTATAAAGGACTGGGTCTACCAACAAAAATAGCTTCAAATTTGGGTTAATATCCCCATCCGAGTTAGCATTCCAGATATATTTAATTCAAAATTCCGGGCAAAATTGGAAATTAAATGAAACTTATCTTAAGTCGAATTTTATTATATTCCATTAGTCATTAGCGAGGAGTGGAGGAGTTGTAGGAGAGAGAGCACTGCGCATGAGTTAACCAGTATTTTGAGCACGAATATTAGTACAATGGCCGGAGTGAAGTAGATATGGGTGGGCCTACAACTCCTCCACTACTCGCTAATGACTAATAGAATGCTCATCAATCTTAAGGAAAATCGACTTAAGATAAATCTCGTTTAATCTCCATCTCTATTACGTCATTAGCTATAGTCGTTACGTGGTTGTAGGAGACTTTAGAGAAGACATTGTACTAATATTTGGAATGACAAACAAATAAGCCATCATAAAATCACCGAGGAAACCATCATAACATGAATAAATCAGAAAACTCTATACAGACACTCATCAGGTCAAGGTCTCTAAAACAGAGTTCCCAAAATTAAAACTATGTGTATTGAAATGATAAAATTGATGAAAAGTTTGTTCTTTTCACCATCCTGCAGCACACATTATATCTTTTATATCAAAGTTTTTTGAAGCAAGATGATAAGTTAAAGCCGCCCTTGTACTCTGACTTGTATTAATAGATGCGTCAATACCAGCATCAGTCTTAAAACGTTTAACCCAATGTGAAGTAGTTTCAGGTCGGTGTGTCTTTATAAAACTGATAAGAAGTTGTTTATTAGCACCACATAGTGGGCCGTACGTTTAAATACTCCAAAACATGAGTGACAACACATAATCTTCTATCGGCAGAGTAGGATAAAAATGTTAATGGTGGTTGGTGTGTACCATGTCTCAAATGTTTGAGTTTTTCTGTTACAACAAAAGTAACCTTGAAGTCTTCAATTACCATATGATCAATAAATAATTTATCAATGGTTTGGCATCTTCTGTCACTTAAGAGTGACAGGAGGAAGGCAAGTCTTGGTGACAGTTCTTTGAGTTCTTCTGGCGTATTGATTAAAGTATATGGTAGTCGTGACTTCTATAAGTTTGATAGAAAAGTGAGAGCCATGGGAAAATGGGGGGGGGATCGACATTGCAACCATTCGTACGACAAAATTGAAACCATTTTTTAGCTCATGACTGGTATTGTATTCTCGTGCCATCACGCCATGAGCTTAGAATAATTTCTATTGTCTCTGAAGAGACCATTTTACTTGTAGCTTACCCCGGATACAAGACAGATGAAAAGTTCAGTTTCTTGTGTGATGGTTGTTTGAGATTGCAATGAGAAGGCAGAATTAGTAAGTTATCTACAGTAGGACCATTTTCTCTCACAAAATGAAGACTGCAAATATAACTGTCTTTCTTCCCCCAGCGCACCTCTTCGTCGTAACCATTGTTATAAAATTACTCCGCCATGTTTGTCCGAGTTTTTCTCTTTAGCAAACACGTGTTTCCACATATATGAAAACCGCCAAAGTGGTGTATTGCTGTGATCTGTTCAGGGGGGTTTCTTCTAAGTTGGTATAAAAACTTTCTATTTAAGCCCTTGTCTTTAGTCAGTGCTGTATATGATGCATTTTGCCGAGTCCCAGTCAATGTTGTGCTTTGTGAGTCAGTGATGTTCGGTAAGGTGATTAGTTTTGTCTTCTTTTTTCGTAGCTTGTTTGTGTTCAGTAAGTGTTGTGTTTAAGCTCCTGTCAGTTTCCCCGATATAGGGGGTGTAGCAGTCAGAGCAGTT